CTAACATTTCTTTATGTAAGAGAAAACATAACATAACATCACGCCTTTTATCCCCGAAGGGGTAGGCAGAGGTGCACATTATGCCACTGTACAATGTAACACCCACTTTTAACTATTTATATGACGGATCCCATGTAATAGGGAGTGAGCCTATTGCCATATATCGGGCACAATTCCACACTCCGTGCTACTACTGAGATTTTTTTAAACCTAGTAATAAGAAGTAATGTAACAGAAAAATAAATGAAATTAGTATAAATAAACAAAGGAGAAAGGTTATCACAGTGTGGTTGCGTTTGTGCTCTATTTAATGAAATATAGGGTTTCATTTGATTAAGTTTCGTATCCTGGAGGTCGGGGGTTGACCGTGGGCATCTGTTCAGTAGATCTGTTTTAATGATGGTTAGTTTTATTTTGATCTTTAATTAAATGATGATGAATCATTAAACGCCTTTCTTTTTCTTCTTCTCCTCTTATAATATCTTCTGATTCACTTCGTTGCGGGAACCAAGACAGTTACTCATGTCCCTGGGACGCGCCGGACTTCAATGTTCCGGTGTTTTCATGGTTGTATCTACTGTAAATCCTGGCTTACAGGAGTTACAGCGGTTTTGGGAGGTCGTGGCGGGCTTGTCCCATTACAAAAAAAAAAACGCCTTTGCCCTAACCGACTGAAGCAGATCACTTCGGTCGGTTGTAAGCTTCAGTGTCTTGTAAAGCGGTACGATTATGTAAACTATGCAAATTGTTAAGCAATGTATAATGAACGCCGGTGTGAGTTCACATCACAACTAAAGCCGCGGTGAGCTAATTACCCGTGCGTGGGAAATTGATTTGAAAGTTTACACAATATTGAAGTTGTATGGACTCGATGGTGTGGAAGACTGAGGTATTATACATACATAACTGCCTGTCTCCCATGAGGGGTAGGCAGTGACTAGGGAACGCCAATTTACATACCTCTATAATATGTTGTTATTTAAGCAAGTTGTAGTGTCTTTAAATGTAACACTTTAAATATAACTAAAGCTAACTAAGGCCCAATAACTCCCTCACCTTCCCCAATCTCCCCAATCCCTGAATCCCAATGATCCTGGAACTCCTAATCCCCAAAAGGCTGGTAACGCACTTGTAACGCCACTGGTGTTCCAGGTGTATGGGCGACGCCGATTATTTACTATCAGGTGATCCATAAATAAAAAAATTACACTAACTTTCAGTCAATTGGTTTATGAACCGCGTGTAAAAGTTTTTATTTAAAATATTATGTAGGTTAAATATGTTCTTCTGTTCAGAAATTGAAACCGTGATTCCTTGGTCCGGGAACTACACTCACCCAATGAGTTTGCACTTATACTGATATATTGAAATAAAAATCTACGAAATATGTATTGATATGTATTTAAACTTACATCACTACGTTAATTATTAAGTTTTTCGGCTTACTCACGTAATTATTTGACGAGGAACTCGACGAGTTTCAACAATGCTAGAGGCTCATATTCATGAGCAGCATTCCGCGAACCGCGACGCGGCGACTGTCAAGCTGCTACTAAAAGCATGGCTTGAAACTAGTCGAGTCTCTCGTCAAATAATTACGTGAGTAAGCCGAACACTAATAATTAATTTAGTATGTCTCACGAAAGTTATAATACAAAATACATCGATACCCAGGTGGAAAAAGTCATTCAATAATTTTCCCCCTTAAAAAAATACATCGATACGGTTTAGAAAGCTCTGTAATGTACCGGGTACAAGTCCTTGTGTCTGGTATACATAGGCATCTACTAATACATACAATATATTTATAAGTGTATTACACTTACTTAGCACATGAGTGGGGTACTCTCCGAGTTAAATATATTACGGGTACGGCGGCCTGTCTGTGGAGTGCACGGCTTGTTTATTAATATGTAGACGAACATTATGTTACAGTAACCAACCATGTTTATAGAACCATTAAACATACTGACAAAACGTGGAAATATTATGAGTTAAAAAAAATAAAATGACGTTTGATTATTAAACAAAAATGTAAATGTCGACAAAATTAAAATTGAAAACAAAAATATTAATGTTGACAAAAATAAAATGACAACCTAATTAAACTATTTCTAAATTCAAATTCAATGATTACAAACTTCTTTTATTTCATAGCGGCCAGTACGTTTAATTTTACCAAAGAGTTTTCTATCTACCAATTTATTTTTCTATGTACCTATAAGGCAGTTAACAAAAGAGGTTGAGCATTCTCATACAACATTTCTGATTTCAAGAACATTTTTAGTAAGGATCCCTTTTTATTATTTTCCTAGCATATAATGGTCCTTCCGGCAGATTTCTGTAAACAATGGCTCATTTATATAAGAATACTTCATTGGACATCGGTTTATTGGAAAACTGGAGTAGGGACAGACCACAGCAGGTCAACCTATCCGTCACATTTTTTTGATTTTGAACTTTAGGTGGTTTCTAATAGAGTCGATAATTCATTGATAAATTGGAGTATATTGATGTGCTTCGTGACTACACTAAAGGCAGTGATTTTGGGTCCAAAATATGTTTGTATAGGAAACTACGTTGCTAATAAACTAGTCAGTTCATCGATCACTACGGAACCGTATATTATGTCAGTGTATTTTCAGTTCTACTGGTTCTGTAATATGGTTGAAAATCTAATAAAGAAATTAGTAGTTCGGGGTAGCTTGATGTGCTGACTTCTTTATATTATACAAGCTTTTGCCCGCGACTTTGTACGCGTAATCCCGTTTTCTCCCGTTCCCGTAGTATTGTCAGGATTTTTTCTATCTTATGAACCTTCTCCTAATAATCCTCACCAATATTATAAATCGGAAAGTGAGTTTGTTTGTTTTTTCCCCTTTACGCCGTAACTAATCAACCGATTGCTTTGAATTTTTGCAGACGTAAAGTTAGAAGTCCGGATTAAATAATAGGGTACTTTTATCCCGGAAAAATTTGGTATTCCCGAGGGAAAACAAAAGTATTGTTATAGATGGCGCTGTGTGTATTGGTATATGTCACATTGGCTTAGCATCCTTTTGTGACGCGAGCGAAGCCGCGGGTAAAAGCTAGTAACAAATACAACAACAAATGAATTAGTGAAATCGGTCCAGCCATTCACGTGTAATACCGTGACCAAGGGAAGGGAAAAAAGGGTTCATTTTTATATATAGAAATTTCTTGTTTGGGGATTCCGTAAATGGGTTTTTCTCAGCAAGTCTCGACTGATAAAACTTCGTTCCTTTAAACATTATTACTTGTCATCATCATCATATCAGCCACAGGACGTCTACTGCTAAACATAGGCGTCCCCCAATGACTTCCAGATAGGCCGGTTGGTAGCGACCAGCATCCAGCAGCTCCCTGCGACCTTGATCAGGTCGTCTGTCCACCTTGTGGATGGACGTCCTACGCTGCGCTTGTACGTGGTCTCGAGATTCTTTCTGCCCCAGCGGCCGTCAGTTCTCCGCGCTATGTGCCCTACCCACTGCCACTTCAACTTGCTAATCCTCTAGGCTATGTCGTTGACCTTTGTTCGTCTGCGGATTTCTTCTTTTACTACTCCGTTAGGCAAGTGCATGAACTTATTGATATAAGGTCTCGAATTAGATTAACATTTTGTTTTTCGGTTTTCGTTTTTTCCAGAAATGGAAACAAGTTCGCCCTTTATTTTGTAGAATGAAGCAACCTTAGAAAACGGATGTTACATCAATACAGATAAATAGCCGCGGAGAACCTAACGGGTTGCCGGGGCTCCGGCTCGAAGTGCAGGAGTAGGAACGGGGTGGTTTTTAGTCAGTAAGAGTCTGATACTCCCGTTTCAAAAGGAGTATTTATTAAAACAGTTGCCTCCCGCCTCACCCAGGTGGGAAAAGTCATTCGATTATTTTACCCTCTTAAAAAAATACAGATAAATAAAATTGGAGCGCCTGCCTATTTGTACTGGCTAATCTATGGAATGGCTGGACCGATTTAGACGGGACTTTTACTGGCAGGTAACTGATGTACATACCAAGGAGTAACATATGCTACTTTTGTTGTGGACAATTGAAACAATAAAGTTATGTTCTAAAATTCATATTCGACTAGGACGAAGTCGCGGGCAACAGTTAGCTTTTCATTATATTTCTGTCTATACTTTCAGAAAATAAGTGACGTCATGTTACAAAACAGAATATATTAAGGACCTACTGGATTGTGTAAACTGGGAATATAATGTTTAAAATCCAAAGCTCCTATGTTTTTGTTTACTATACCCGGGGATCAAAATATTTGAATATTCTGCAGACGTTTGTTCCGTCATCTATTTGTTCACACACCCACGGCGGGAGAAATTTTATATTTATTTGTGTGTGTGTGTGTGTGTGTATATATGTTTGTGTAAACATAACCAGATTTTAAATTTTTAATGTGGTGTTATCTCAAAATAATATGTTTTATACATATGGAGCATAGTATTATTAAACTGTGTTACAATTACAAAGATTATTTTTAAAAGGTCTGCACTGCAAACTGATACTCCTCTGGTGTTGTGAGTGTCCATGATTGTTACCATTAGTCGATCTTGTGCTCGTCTGACCCCGAATCTACCTAGAAGCTTTTGACTCCTTTGAAATTAAATGAAATTATATTTATTTCTGCAAATAAGTCACAAAGTACCTAACACTTTTACACGTCAATAAGTATACTTTTCAGCGCAATAAATGGCTTTTAATTTTTGTTCTCCTTTCTGGAAAAGCGTCCAGTTAATCAAGGGACTTCATTTGACTATAAAAAGCGTCGTATGGTCTTTTTAAAATAAATAACTTTATTTTTTCAGTTTACAACTAAGAGACTAACCTCAGGTTTCTCAAAGACTGATTGATTACCTCCAATCAGCTGCTAAAGCCGCATTTTTAAAATTGTTTCATTTCCATGTCCTCTTGTTAATTCTTCATTCTCTATCTCAATCTTAATTGAACCATTCTCTCTTCCACCAGGACGGTAGACTCCGCAGTGGCGACATGCTCCTGCGCATCGGCGCGGTGTCCGTGGTGGGGATGTGCGCGCGGCAGGCGGCGGCCGTGCTGCGGCAGTGCGGCGCATGCGTGAGACTGCTTGTTGCGAGGCCGGCCGCGGCCAGTGGCGTGCCCATACCTGATACACGGCAGAATATACAGGTAACTAATGCAATTAAGAATTTAGGAGGAATAGCACAACTTGATTCCGCCTAGTCCTTTCCATCATCGTACTACAAGACGATCGGCGATGCGTCACCGATTCATGGTGGATGTCCCACCCCTATACACAAAGTGTTTCTCATCAAGCTACCTTGTGCGTACTGCTAAGGAGTGGAATTCTTTGCCAGAGTCTGTGTTTCCTGAAGGATATAACCTGGTTGTCTTCAAGGCCTGAGTGAATAGGTTGCTTATGGGCATACGTGTTCCATCGTAGGCCGCATCATCGTGCACCACGTCAAACGTCGGCTTATCAAATATATAAAATAGGATACGAATGTATATCACAAGGTCTCTTATAGGGTCTAGGTGTGATGTTCCCGTTAGGATAAGGGAGGATCCTTTGACCTCGCGATGTGATCATGCCTGGCCGGCTACTGCACAACAGTTGTACGTTAGGCGTTTCTATCAATCGAATCTTCTGAGGGCCAAGCACGAATAACTATCGCATTCGTATCGTAACAGTATCAAGCGAGTTCGTCGTTCTGATTGGTTATTTCACTGGAGCCGACCAATCAGAACACCGAACGCGCTCGATTCTATTAAGTTACGAATGCGATAGTTATTCGTGCTTGGCACTCTGCATATCCTACATAGCTAATAGGAAAAAATTTAGGACTAACTTGATCTTCTTACCATATACATAAACATCTTTATGTAAATGAAAGCATGTACTAGCTATTGATTGATTGAAAGTCGGTACCAAGCCAAAACTCATAATAATACTACCTAATTTATCATCATCAACGAGACGAGTGGTGGAAACTTATTAAACTAATTGCTAGTAGGTGATTATATCAGAGTAACATTAGGTACTGTCATTACTTTATAATCATCGTCATCATCATCAACAGCCTATAAGTGGCCACTGCTGACCAGAGGCGTCTTCTCACACGGAGAAGGTTTGAGCATTAACCACGCTTGCTTAATGCGGGTTCGCGATTTGAAACTTCTAATTGGATATAATAAGCCCCACGATTTTCCTTTACCGTTTGTCAGTAGTGTCTAGATAATCTTATAAAATACATATAATTTGGAAAAAGGCACATTAGTATTTGCCGTTGGTAGGTTTCGACCCTGCACTCTCATGCATGAGAAGCGGGCGTCCTTAACCTCCGAGCCACCACGACTATCATTACTATCAAAGAAGAATAAATTATATGAGAGCACTTTCCGATATTAAAGTCAATGAGAATTTGATAGGCACTTCCAAAATTCGCTCGAGCTACCTAATTTAGTATTAATTCCAATAAGGTTTAGATCGCCCCAGGTTGTTTACTTTTCAGTACCGTTCTGAATCTTTGCAATTGCTACAACGAGGAGAGATTAAATTGTTTGCTTGGAATGAAATCCAAAACTGAAGGTGCGATATAAATAACAAAGTCTATCACCATTGGAAAACTTACATTTCATTGAGTAACATAAGAAAATTAACTTTTGATACTAACAGGATTGTCATTCTAAAGAAGTTTTCTTAATTATACACACGCGCGAAGCTATTGACAAAATCCCACCCAGACGGGAAAGTTATTTGATGATTTTTCCCATTAAGTACCTATAAAATAATAATAATGTTTTAATAATAATTATCGTGGGACTTACTAAATTAACTAAAAATTAACATCAACACCAACGCGGGTACTAGCCAGCGCTAGTATGCTGCACGAAATTGTCGCAACCGCGAACGCTGCTCATGAGTAAGACTTCTTCTGTCACTAGAAACTAAAAGTATTTCTTAAATTAAATAATAACTAATTCCATTATTAAGACCAAAACACACAATCAACCTGCCAACACCACTTCTAACCAAACCCAAGCAATCACAGTTTCAACCACACCAAAATACGATCCAAAATATACCAAACATTGAACTCATTCATTAATACGTTCACACATTCCTTCTTAAGTCGTATATCAGTTCTAATAGGCACTACACCACGCCTTTCGCACTAATTGGCGAGCCTTGCACAAAGCCTAAGAAACTGCAAGCTCCAATTAAAACAACTAGGTCGGCGTTAAGTGACGATTTAAATAGCGCCAGGTTACCTTTTACATTCAAAGTGGTTTAGCGCCTCGTGCTAGAAGTTTTACTGTACTTATGAATGGTGAAAATTGTGTGTGTCAGTGTGTGTGTGTGTGTGTGTGTGTGTGTATGTGTGTGTGTGTTTGGCTGTATGTAATTGACATTAATATGACATTCTTCAAAGTCGAAGTCACAGCATTCATTTCAATGAAATCATATTTTTGAAACGTTAATAAATGCCAAATAAATAATAGTCTGTCAGTCTGTCCGCCAGTGAAGATAGGTGCTCGTTCCAAAATGTATATTTGAATGGAGAAGAACGAGCAAGAAACTTTTTTTATGAGATAAGCCGGTAAACGAGCAGACGGATCACCTGATGGTTAGCAATTGGCGCCGACCCTGGACACCTGGAACCCCAGAAGCGAAACAAGAGCGTTACCGGCCTTTTAAAGATTAGGAATTTGAAGATTCTTGGAAATTGGTGAAATTGGGGAAGGGGGAGAGGAAGGGGGGGGGATAATTGGGGTTCAAGTAACCTCAATCACGCATTCACTTGATTCACGTTGGTTATCTGTGAGGTCGCAGTATCACTTCGGTCGAGCCGGCCCATTCGTTCCGAAGCATGGCTCTCCCACACTTAAAACCACTCTACTCTACTCGTCACTCTTTTAATTCATCATGTTTCTTCCTTCATCATCCCTCCTAGGTTTAAATAATTCAGTTTGCCATAATCTCTTGGCAGGTGGGCAGTTCAACAAGGTTCACGCTTTGTAGTGCTTGGGTGTTCTAAAGTATTAGGTTTATCGATACCTTTCAAATATGTATTCCATTTGGCTCTTAATAAACCCGTGAGAATAATAAGGGAGCTCACTTAAATAGGTATTTTACTGTGTTTTCCTCACATGGCTACTTAATTTACTTTGAAAACGGTATTTAAACTTCGCTGAAATTGACCTTCCCGCCTTCCTAAATGACTTCCACATAGGCACATTATAGTTTTCTGCTTACTCGCGTATTTATTTGACGAGGAACTCGACTAGTTTCAAGCCATGCTAGAGGCTCATATTCATGAGCAGCATTCTTCGATGCGGCGACTGTACTGAATTTAGTATTTCTCAGGAGGGTTATAATATTATCGTACGACATATCTATATAGATACGTCAAATTTAATTCAATAACTAATTCCACACATCAAATTCCATCCAGTATTTACAAAAAAAAATTTAACGATTGCATTCAGCAATGAATGGTTTTTATTTATATACTGGCCTTATCTCGCTCAGTAAAACCATATTTATAATTTCTATCCAAACAAAATATATCGTCAGTGAAGTTATAAAGCTGTAGTGACGTCACACCTGCTAACAGCTGCCTGTCTTCATACAGATCGTTTATTTGTACAATATTTAAAAACACATCTATCATAGTTTGATAATTCCGATTTGTTATCAAGTCTTGTGTAAAAATATGTCGGAAACATCGTGGGCGTGGAAGAAAGAGTACTTTTGTTTTTGCATTGCGAATAGGCTCTAAAACTAACATTCTATATTTTTGTTATCATGAGACATTGTTTCCCTTTTCCGTGTGAGAAAAACTACGCCTTTGCTCAGCAGTGGACACTTGTAGGACGATGATGATAAATTGTCGTCCAATCAGCGAAACACGACGCCATCTCTTCGTGCACAATTAATTATAATTACAACTAGCTTTTACCCGCGGCTTCGCTCGCGTCATAAAAGGATAAAAAGTAGCCTATGTGACTATCCATCCGTTCAACTACCTTCAGTTAAAAAATCACGTTAATTAGTACCTCCGTTCTGCCGTTTAAGACAGGCAAACAAACAAATAGCATCCGCTCGCGTGGAATTCGGTTATATCGCGCTATTTAGATTTTTCCAATAAGTAGGTAATTCGTTGACTGGTTTTAAATGACATACAACGCCATCTATACCAGTACACACAGCGCCATCTATACCAATATTTTTGTTTTTCCTAGGAAATATCATTTTTTCCGGGATATAAGTACCCTGTTATTTAATGCTTTTAATTCTAACTTTAGGTCTGCAGAATTTCAAAGCAATCGGTCTAGTAGTTACGGCGTGAAGGCGGAACAAACAAACTCACTTTCCGATTTATAATATAAGTAAGGAAGTAAGGACAAGTAAGGATAACGATTATGAATTTTTTTTTGGATATCTATTAGTTTATTGTTGTATTCATTTTGTTGTATCTGTTTGAGTTTTGTATTGGTTTTGGTTTTGGTTTTTTAAAAAATCGTTGCCCCGCACTAGGATTTTCTCCTGTGTCGTGGGTGCGTTTACAAACATACAAGTTCACATACACAATGACACCCAGACCCGAAACAACAATTTGTGGATCACACAAAGTGTTGTCCCGTGCGGGAATCGAACCCGCGACACGTTGCACGGCAGCCGTTTGCCCAGCCACCGCACCAACCGTGCAGTCAAAATTGTATTTTTATATACTTGTGTAATATATTTTATATGGGCCACAGTTGCAATATACAAATTGAAATAAAGGAACAACAATGAACAATAAATAAACAATAAAAAATTATGAATCCCGTGTTCCACTACTTATTATTGGTGAACCCATTTCCACAATAAAATTAAAACCTTCGTGCTATAACTAACAATATTTGAAAACTTGACCCAATCAGAAATCTATTCCGAAGTCAATCTACAGACAGCATCCTCGCTTGACAGTCACGTTTATGACCTCCAGTATGGATACTGTACCAGATTTAAGTCTAAAGTCAAATCAAAATTTAGTTTTTTCTTTCTATTTTTACCCCTTCATCAATCATCAACAGCCTATAAATGCCCACTGCTGAGCTAAGCCTCTTCTAACAGGGAGAAGGTTTGAGCATTAATCACCACGCTTGCACCATGCGGGTTCGCGATTACAAACTTATAATTAGAAATTATAAGCCCAAGTTTCCTCACGATGTTTTCCTTCACCGTTGGTCAGTGGTGTCTAGATAATCTTAGAAAGTACATATAACTCGGAAAAAGTCACATTCGTACTTGTCGTTGATAGGTTTCGAACCCGCATCCTCATGCATGAGAAGCGGGCGTCTTAAAGCTCCGGGCCACCACACTCAAACATAGTGATTGGTGAAACTATATAAAATCTTTTTTATGGGATAAGTTCGCAAACGAATCGACGGATCATCTGATGGTAAGCAATCGGCGCCGCCCATAAACACCCGAAGTACCAGAGGTGTTACTAGTGCGTCGTTGGCCTTTTAGGGAATATGCATTTGAGGATTGTGTTTAATTACACTACTCAACACTTAAAAAATATCTGACCCAATTCATATTATTTCATAATAAGCTTGACCAATATAAAAATACTGTATGCATTTTATTTCGATATCACATCTGGTTATAGGGATAAATATTTTTTTATTTTTTTACCTACCTACAAAAGTTAAAATGTGGGTAGTCCGGAAACTTATTACTTTTGGAAATGGAACATAGTGCATTTGTTAGTATATTAACTGACTTCTAAAATGTCGCGAGTGTGTGTTAACAGTCCTGATTTATCTTGCTATATTTGTGGCGATTTGACGCCGAAATTGAAAAAAAAACACTTTCTGACTTAACTAAACAGTGCTATCAAGCTTATTTTAACCGTGTCGTAAGGAATGAAGACAAGTCATGGGTTCCTAAAGTGTGCTGCTTAAGATGTTATACATATCTCAATGGTTGGTGTAAGGGAACATCTAAAAAAATGCCATTTGGTACGCCAATGGTGTGGATGGAGCCAACGATTCATGGCGTCGATTGTTGTTATTTTGTTTAACGCAATTAAAGGTGTTTTCTGAAAAATCAAAACGAAGTATTAAGTATGCCAACGTGCCATCGGTAATAAAATCTAAGCCACATTCTGACGAGTTACCTGTTCCTGAGTGCCCAGTGAATTTAATTCAGACAGTTGAAGTCGACTCGAGTTCGACGGATAGTGAAAATAGCGAGGACCCCCAATATGTTCCAAAATGTGCATCTGAGCCACTTTTATTGAATCAAACTAGACTTAATGACTTACTGATTCAAGATCCAGCTTTTATATCTGCTGTCAATAATATTGAAAAACAAGCATGGAACGCTTTTGTCAATGTCACTAACACTTTTCCTTGGTAACAAGAAATCTGAAGATTTTCGCGAATAAATAAGTTTTATTGAACTGCTACTATAAAATGGGATGCAATATGTCACTTAAGTTGCATTTTCTTTACTCGCATTTGGACTTTTTCCCTAAAATATGGGATCAGTCAGTGTCGAACATAGCGAACGCTTTCACCAAGATGTTGTTGCGTTTGAAAAGCGATTTCAAGGCAGATGGGAGCTTGCTATGCTCTCAGATTACTGTTGGAGCCTTATTAGAGAGACCCCTGCTACTGAGTACAAGAGAAAAGCCAGCTACTCCAAAAAAACTACGCCATTTCAATTAAAATTACAATAAAATTATGGAAAATTCGGATTTTCGACATGGATGTTTATCTGGACATTGAGATGTGATGGTGTGTGTATATTTGCATATTTTTATTACTTTAGTGGCAAGAAATAGTAATCACATAATGCGACCTCAGATAAAATCAAAAGTTGAAAATTTGTTGAGTAGTGTTATCTTATACTCTTATAGAGGTATAAAGCGGAAGAATTTGTTTTTTTGTTTGTTTGTTTGAACGCGCTAATCTCCGTAACTACAAGTCTAATTTGAATAATTCTTTTTGTGTTGTATAGCGCATTTATCGAGGATGGCTATAGGTTATAAAACATCACGCTACAACCAATACGAGCTGAGCAGAGCGTGTGAAACCGCGCGGAAGTAGCTAGTGTTATTATAAATACAAAGCTTTGTCATCAACGCCATCATAATCACATTTACCCCTGAACATCATCCCCATTGACATACATACATACATAACATCACGCCTTTTATCCCCGAAGGGATAGGCAGAGGTGCACATTATGCCACTGTACAATGTAACACCCACTTTTCACTAGTTATGTTATGAGTCCCATGTAATAGGGGGTGAGCCTATTGCCATATACCGGGCACAATTCCCGACTCCGTGCTACTACTGAGAATTTTTAAAAATGCCAGTAGTACTTTGCCCGACCCGGGAATCGAACCCGAGACCCCTTGCCCGGCAGTCGCACTTGTGACCACTCGGCCAACGAGGCATCCTCATTGACTTCTCTTACAATTCATCTTTGTAATTCCATATCTCCGCCATAAGACAAAACGTTTCCCTCATTCATAGCCAATCCATTTGAGTGTATCATATTTTATTGGACCACTTTCCTTATTCCCAAGTTATTCTGTTTCCGAACAGATTTCTGCCTATACATATATTTATTTAATGTGTTTTCTGTTTGTTGTTTGTTGGTCTGCTCTTTCAAGTGTCAAATGTTTTTTTTTTATTTGGGTGTAGTGATGTAAGTGTGTTTGTTTTTTTTTGTAGTTAAGTTAAAGGTGTAAGGTCACTGTTTTCTACTTGTGTTTATTTCTTATTTGTGGTCATATGAGAATATTTAGGACTGGTTCGATTTAAGTTGAGCCAAGTTTAATAACGACTGCACTGTTGCCGCAGTGGGTGGGCAACCGGCTGCCGCGCAACGTGTCGCGGGATCAATTTCCGCACGGAACAACTCTTTTAGACACAGATTATTGTTTCGGGTCTGGGTGTCATGTGTATGTGAACTTATGTGTTTGTAGACGCACCCACGATACAGGAGAAAATCCTAGTATGGGGCAATGTTTTTTAAGACAATTTTTAACTTCTTAATGCTCAGTGATTTTATCGATATCTACTCTTAACTCAGTGATAACGAAACTTATAAAATAACAGACAAAGATTGAGATCTTTCTAAATATAGTTTTACCTACTTCTTTAATAAATAATTTCATTTAATGTTATGTCACCGACTGCCCCATTGTCCGAGTGGTCGCAGGTGCGATTACCGTAGGTATGGGGTCTTGGGTTCGATTGCCGGGTCGAGCATAGTATTACTGGGTTCTTAAAAAAATCTCAGTAGTAACACGGAGTCTGGAGTTGTGCCCGGTATATGGCAATAGGCTCACCCTCTATTACATGGGACTCATGACATAAATAGTGAAAAGTGGGTGTTACACTGTGCAGTGGCATTAAGCGCCGTAATGTGCACCTCTGCCTACCCCTACGGGGATAAAAGGCATGATGTTATGTCATCTTATGTCAAAAAAAATGTCCAAACACCACAAACCGCCATCTCATTACAAAACATTTAAACTGTGTAATGAAGAGGGCTCGTCACTCCCGTCCTCAGAGGGAAGATGTTCATAATTGAGACTACGGCGGCTATTAGTACGACATCCGTCTTGGGACCGTCACTTCCGCCGGATGTGACGTAATTGCGTGAGACAGGTTTCATAGACTCTCCAATGTTCTGAATTTGAAATGAAAGCAATTGTGTATCTATTTAAAATGGCTGTGTATAATGTCAGTCGCAGATTCATCCATGTAATAAAGGCTATTATGGCTTGATTGTGTTATTCATAGTCTCGAATAAAGGTTTCTATTCTCGGCTTTCTGTTTTTGACAAAAACGGATATTGAAATAATGATGGCGTGTAATTTATAGAAATTTGTAATTAATTTGGAAGTATTAATAGAAATTAATAGTTTGATGGTTAAAAATAAATTCAAATTGTTTACCAAGTATTTAAGTCAACTGATTTTATTTTTCCGGGTCTGACTATTGTATTTAGTCTATTAACTAAAATCGCGGGTTACTCACCGTGAATATACTGAGAAAAGCTCTACTAGTTTCGAACCACAGAGGGGTTCTTCCTCATGAGCAGCGTGCGCGGTCGCGGCGATGCCGCGCAGCTCAGCTGTTTAGTCTACACACGAATGTTAAGAAAATTTGACTGTGTTGGGCAACGTATCCAGAAATAGGTTTAAAGATAATCTTTATGTATGTGACTGCATCGTTGGCCGACTGGTTGCAAGTGCGACTAGTCGGCCTAGGCTAGGGGTCCCGGACAAATTGTTAGTGGGTTTTTAAAACAAATCCCATTAGTAGCATGGTGTCTGGAATTGTCCCCGGTATTTGGCATTAGGCTCACCCCCTATTACATGGGACTCATAACATAAATAGCGAAAAGTGGGTGTTATGTTGTACAGTGGCATTAAGTGTCATAATGTGCACCACTGCCAATCACTTACACAATCAAATCACGGGGATAAAAGGCGTGATGTTATGTGAACTCAGGATACAAGCAAAATTCTCACAAGCACAATCGTCCTAGTAAAAAAACCTTTATTATATTAATTTTTACTAATGTTCCAAATTCTATTCAGCCTCTAGGTGCACCACCAGCGCCAGTAGTACCGTCCCGCCTGCTAGCAGACCCGATAGAGCTGGAGCGGCGGCTGTCGGAGGCTGGCCACGATGGGTTCGGAGCACTCTGCGAGGATACGTCACCACCTTCTCCGCCTCCCACCATCATTGAGGAGCGGCTGCATCATCGGGTAAGAGAATTGTTATTGTAATATACTATACATCGTGAAATATATTTCGTTTTTGTCCCGTAAATAGATCTAGTTTTGTTGTTCGATTTTGATGTTCGACAGTGGAGTTGCAATACGAGCAGTCCGCCCATCACATACTCTGGGAGTGTGATCTCTGGCAATATGAACGTAACAATATGTTAAATTATTTAATTTTTTCGTCAGGTGCAGCTTATTATACGAACCATGTGGAATATAGTACAAATTTCCGTGCGTTTAGGCGCTTTACATACCTATTATTGGAAGCAAGAATAACAGCTCACACATAAGACCCACTTAGTTTTTTTTTAGTCAAGTTTCCGTGATGCTAGGCGACTGGGCTTCACCCAGTTGTACAGTCTCTTTCATCAACAGCCTATAAATGCCCACTGCTGAGCAAAGCCTCTTCTCACACGGAGAAGGTTAGAGCATTAATCACCACGCTTGCTCAATGCGGGTTGGCGATTTCAAACTTATAATTAGAAATTATAAGTCCAGGTTTCCTCACGATGTTTTTCCTTCACCGTTTGTCAGTGGTGTCTAAATAATCTTAGAAAGTACATATAACTCGGAAAAAGTCACATTGGTACTTGCCGTTGGTAGGTTTCGAACCCGCACCCTCATGCATGAGAAGTGGGCGTCAGTCAGTCTCTTTAATTCATTTAATTTTATTTAGATGTTCCGCCCACACGCACGAAGCGCTTCGCTTCAAGCTTCCTTGTGCGTACCCCTAAGGAGTGGAATTCTTTGCCAGAGTCTGTATTTCCTCAAGGGTATAACCTTGGAGTCTTCAAGGCCCGAGTGAATAGGTTGCTTATGGGACGACGTGCTCCTTCGTAGGCCGCATCATCGCTTACCACCAGGCATAAAAAAATTCGTTCTGTGTGTAAAGAAAACAAGTAATCGGGTTTGTATTACAAAGTTTAAATGATTAGAATTAGAATTATCAGTAAAGACCCTTCAGATTAACCAACAAATCTGTCAGATATGTAAAGGAATGGAAAAAAAACATTTATTTTGCACAATATATGCACAGAGATGCATAAATGAAAAAAATAAAAATAAAAAGTTCTTAAATTATGTAAAGGAGGTTGATACCTCCTTTATATATAGCTGATGCTAGAGGTCATAGCAATGAGGTTTGAACTCACAAACAAGCCAAACTTTATCAAAGAAACAAATAAATAACCTCGGTTACATTACAGTAACCGGAATAGAAGCAATGGAACTTGGACTGACAGAAGTATCTCATCATGGCGGCTCAAATAAATACTTTTTACAATTAACTTTGTATAATATTATACTTGAAAATGTTTATAAGGGAGGTAGTATAATAATGATAATATTATACGTTATCTGATATGATTAGCTTACAGAGCAACGGAAAGAATTTCTCAACTTTAAATTGCATTTTTGTACGTTTTCCTTCTCAAGTGGCTTGCTTAAGGAAAGTGATGGTTGAAGTTTCGGAGTGCAGATAGCTTTTTATTTTCATTGTGATTTTAAATATTACCTCCCTGCCGCCGTTGACCGAGTGGTCGCAAGTCCAACTGCTAAGCAATGGGTCTCGAGTTCGATTCCCAGGTCGGGCAAAGTATTATAAGGGTTTTGGTTTAAAAATCTCAGTAGTAGCACGGAGTCTGGAATCGTGCCCGGTATATGGCAATAGGCTCATTCCCTATTACATAGGACTCATAACATAAATAGCGAACAATGGTGGTGTTACACTGTACAGTGGCATTACCTGAATGCCGTAATGTGCACCTCTGCCTACCACTTCGGGGATAAAAAGGCGTGGTGGTTATTCTAGTGCATAGGATGGATATTAAGATTACCCACATGATGATGTTATTATTATCCTCTATTGTACTCATAAACGTATCAACTACACGGGCTTGCGGACAGCGAGCGTGGGTAGCTCACCGCCCGACTTGAATCAGAAGCGTACCTCAAAGAGCCATCAGACCACCACGGATGGGTCCCAACAGGACTGATGCCGATACGGTACCGCGGAGAAAGCAAATGGTTACCGGGGCTCCGGCTCGAAGTGCAGGAGTAGGATCGGGATGGTTTTTAGTCAGTAGGCAGGAAGAAGTAATTCGATGATTTTTCCCCCTTTAAAAAAACGCATCAATTACCTTAGTAACATTGCTACTTGTACCTATCCCTTATTTTTATCCAGTCGCACGACGTTTCATCATCGTCATCATATCACTCATAGGACGCCCACTGCTAAACATAGGCCTCGCCCAATGACTTCCAGACGACGACGTTTGACTTTGAAAATTTTCTGTGTGTGTAGCCGGTGGCGTCAATAGTAGCGGTGGTGCCACGTGGCGCGCTGGCTCCGTCTCCCCGACCTCCTGCCATCGTGCAGCCGCCGCCGCAGCCACAACCACCACCTCTCAGGTAAGAAGAGGAAATTAAGATAATACCTGTCTAATAACTTTTAGTGTATAAAACTACATACAGGTAGCATAGAGTTCTATCCTAATGGTGCTATGTCTCTAGTTCAGGCCATGATGCGGAGCGAGGGGGACTGGGATGCCGTCTCCTCCTTTTGCGAAGCAGTCATGCTGGCTAAGGAGGAGGCGGGACGCGTGAGGCAGCGAAGCGCTGCCTCCTCGCAACCCAGCCATCGCGAAGGACACACCGGGCGTCGGGGATCGCGGGACGATCTCCGGCCACCGTAAGCGCGGGCCTGCGGACGGCGAGCATGGGTGGCTCCCCGTCCGACCAGAAACAGACCCGAGCGTACGGCGCGTCGCGTTCCGCGTGCGCCTCAAAGAGCCATCAGACCACCACAGATGGGGCCCAATAGGGCCGATGCCGATTCGGAGTCGCGGAGAACCTAACGGGTAACCGGGGCTCCGGCTCGACGTGCAGGAGAAGGAACGGGGTGGTTTTTAGTCAGTAAGAGTCTGACACTCCCTTCCGCCTCACCCAGGCGGGAGCAGTCATTCGATGATTTTCCCCCCTTAAAAAAAAAAAAAAAAAATGGTGCTATGTCTGTGGTGTGATCCATTTTTTCATAGCCTTAGGATAGTAATAGATAACCTGACGGTAAGCAATAGGGGTCGCCCATGGACACCTGGAACACCAGAGGCGTTACAAGTGCGTTACTGGCCTTCTGGGATTAGGAATTTGAGGACTGTTGGGGATTCAGGGATTGGGAAAGGGGGGTAATTGGGCCTCCGGTAACCTCACTCACACAACGAAACACAACGCAAGCGTTGTTTCACGTCGGTTTTCTGTGAGGCCGTGGTATTACTCCGTTTATTCTTTACACGAGTGTAATAAAAACTAATTAAGGTAGAGTACCCTATTAACTCGTCGAGTACCGTATTTATAGACACAATTAAAGAACAATAGGTTGCGGTCACCGGTGACCGCTTGGTGTTTGACAGTTTAAAAGCCAACCTCTGATCAACCTGGACCAATCAAACTGCCTTCACAAAAACCCGCCTGTTATGCGTGGAGAATGGAGATTATAGCAAACTCCTTGGAGTCCAAATGCCTAGTCAGTCTAGTGGCATCTAGTAAAATGTTGACAAAAATTGCATTCCACTTTACTATATAATCTCTTCTTCCACCAGGTTGCCCCTGGACATGGCAGTGCGCGGCACGGGCGAGCCGGAGACGCTCAGCTACGACGTCGAGCTGAACAAGGACTCCGCGCTAGGACTCGGCATCACCGTCGCTGGATACGTTTGTGAACAAGGTATGGTTGAATTTGTTTACAGAAAAATACTTATTTACTGGTTCCTCTCCTAGGGTTTCCAAGATTGCAAAGTTCCTTAAAGATTGTCGGTTTTATTCAATTGTGCGTGTGTTAAGTTATTAAATGGTCCAGTGGTCTTAAGAAAAAGTTAAAACAAGAAAATTCCAACACAGCTATGGCAAAATTTTATACAGCTCTGCCTACCTCTATAGGAAACCATGAGCATACAACTTCAACAGAAGTTGCAACATAGAAATCTAAAAGATGGATAATTGAAGACTTTTATCACAATTAATTTTGACATCCTACAAACAGACATGTGTTGGATAAGTCTATTTATCGAGGACGACAACATCACGCAAAGACCAATAAGAATCGTCAGCGTCTAGTCTCTTAGCTATTCTTTTATATTAAAACGCCAGCCTCGACTAGGTTCAAGGCCCAAGCCTGTATAGATCAATCACCATGCGATACGACATCAAACATGGCTACGGTCAATGGTGATCGCTGCTTACACATGATCCCGGCACGGCTCGTTAACTCGGGGTTGAAACTTGTCAATATCAGCGCAGGGAAGTAATTAGGAATTTTATTAATAGGACTAGCTTCTGCCCGCGACTTCGTCCGCATGGAATAGTGACTTCTGGTGGATTTTTGGTTTTACCCACATAGTTCCCGATCTCGTGGGATTTTCGAGTAGTTCTCGCTCCCGTGGGATTCCCGGGATAAAAACTATCCTATGTCCTTTCTCGAGTTTCAAACTATGTCTGTTCTGTAGTTTAGGCGTAAAGGAGAGACAGAAAGATAGACAGACTTTCGTATTTATAGCATTAGATTGACTCGTATACAAACATAATAATTATGTAGTTGTTTTATTTGCTAAAATGATAGGAAACAGATTTTTGTTTTTTAGGTTTTTAAAACTTCATATAGTACGTACGGACATACTTACTTCGCAATCTCATGAATGTATCCTACATATTGCTGCTGATTGCCTCGTTAGCCGTGTGGTCGCAAGTGCGACTGCCGGATAAGGGGTCTCGGTTTCGATTCCCGGGTCGGTAAATACGGTAGTTGACAACTAGTCAAATTCAATACTTTTATCGAAACGTCAAAAACGATACTGTTCTATGAATTTTGTACGAAATACTAGCTTATGACGTCATCATATTTTCGCGTCAAACAGCACACTTATATCTAAAGAAAATGCGAGAATAAATCGAAAATTAAGTATATCGGCAAATCAATGAATGAAAGTGTAACTATTTTTCAATATTTAATTGAACTGAAAAATCCAAATAATTAATTTTTGACCCAGGAAACTACCCAATTATTACTGTTTTTTTAATTTCAGTAGTCGCATGGAGTCTAGAAGTGTGCCCGGTATATGGTAATAGGCTCACCCCCTATAACATGGCACTCATAACATAAATAGTGAGAAGTGGGTGTTACTTTGTACAGTGGCATAATGTGCACCTCTGCCTAACCCCCTCGGGGATAAAAGGCGTGATGATATATGTTATGTATCCTACCTAAAAGTATAATAACTTCGGGTGAATAGGTAAAAATACAACAATGCGGGTTTATCCTTATTTCACACATGAATGGAGCAAGTGAATGGATCGACATGGGTTCCCTTAACTTTAGGTTCCGGGACAAATCGAAAGACATGGTATAACTAGCTTCTGCCATCAGTTTCACCCGCATTTCGGTAGGATAAAAGTAGTCTATCATCATCATCATCAACAGCCTACAAATGCCCACTGCTGAGCAAAGCCTCTTCTCACACGGAGAAGGTTAGAGCATTTATCACCACGCTTGCTCAATGCGGGTTGGCGATTTCAAACTTACAATTAGAAATTATAAGTCCAGGTTTCCTCACGATGTTTTTACTTCACCGTTTGTCAGTGGTGTCTAAATAATCTTAGAAAGTACATATAACTCGGAAAAAGTCACATTGGTACTTGCCGTTGGTAGGTTTCGAACCCGCACCCTCATGCATGAGAAGTGGGCGTCTTAAACCTCCGGGCCACCACGACAAAGTAATCTATCCCTGTTACAAATTTCATCTCGATTCATTCAGTCGTTTGGAAGTGATAGAGTAACATTAATATACACAAACATACAAACTGTCGCATTTATAATATTAGTAAGATACTAGGTTTTTTCTCTAGGGTTTACTTATTGGTTGTGTGATCCCAAAAGTGAGTACGTAGTGAAAGATTTAGTCTTTAACTTCTGAGATAGACTAAACAGAATTCCTTTGCTAATGAATGTGGCTTGTCAACGGTTATGTTTATATGACTAACAGAATTCTTCAAAAGGAGGTTTTCAATTCAGCCGTAAGTTTTTTTTTAATTGTCAATACTTCATTTAGATAAAATATTATGTTTTCGGCTTACTCACGTAATAATTTGACGAAGAACTCGACTAGTTTCAAGCCATGCTAGAGTCTACTATTAGTCTAAACTAGTCGAGTTCCTCGTCAAATAATTACGTGAGTAAGCCGAAAACATAATAATTTATTTAGTATGTCTCACGAAAGTTACAATTCTTCATTAAGGGTTTGAAACTGTGTAATTACAATTGTTTTATCTATAACAGAACTTATTACATAACGAACCCAGTAGGACTTATGCCCGATACGGAACCGCAAAAGGCCTAACGGGTTGCCGGGGCTCCGGCTCGAAGAGCAGAAGTAGGGTTTTTAGTCAGTAACAGTCTGAAACTCCCTATCGCCTCACCCAAGGCGGGAGAAGTCATTGGATGATTTTAGCGCCTCAAAAAATAATCTCATATACCGAATGAAAGGAAACCTTTCTCTCATCTCCGAACATACAAAATATCCTACAATGTATCAAACCTAATCTCCCAGGAACTGAACACAGCTCTATAAATAGTTTGCTAGTACAAATAAATCGATCCGTCTATTTGTGTGGCGCAGCTCACGAACTATGCTATAGGGTCTGCTTGTAATCTAGGTGGAATAGCTATTGTCGACGATACCGGGAGGTGTACTTAGTCTTTGATGATTACATTTGTCGTTGCAGACTATTTAAGTAGAGAAAAAACATTACCCTCCTTCTTTGGCAGTCGGGTAAAAATAGGTTTGGTGATAAATAAGGTCAGTCTTAGCACTCTCGGTATTTATGTTAAAACTTAATTAAAAGTTCTAATTTACAGGTCATTAGTAGGCTCATCCCCTAATTATAGAAAACTTGTAAATCTCCTATTATAATTAGCACAAAGTGAATTCTCGCTGAGAGACCTACCTCTGCTGACCCCCTTGGGGATTAAAAGGTGTGGTGTTTTATATGAAATAAGCCAGTGAACTAGCAGACGGATCACCTGATGGTAAAATATCGGACGCTCATGGACCCCGAAACATCAGAGGTGTTACAAGTGCATGGCCTTTTGGGGATTAGGAATTTGAGGATCCCGAACAGGATTCGGGGATTGGGGAGATTGTGAGTGCAGTAACCTCACTCACAAGACGAAGCACAACGCAAGCATTGTTTCACGTCGGTTTTCTGTGAGGCCGTGGTATCGCTCCGGTCGAGCCGGCCCATTCGTGCCGAAGCATGGCTCTCACACATGTTATGTTATAAACAACCCCATGAATGAACTTCAATCATTGCTCAGCAGTGGTTTTTTTAGTCACTTGATCATAGTAGTGAAAAACTTCAAATAGCTTCCTTAAACATCCCAGGGTGAGGTCTTTCTAAAACATTGTCCTATAGAATGGCCTTAATGTCTGCATAAATAAAGAAAATGTTCAAAACTTCAGAGGCCATTGCTCAAAAACTTTTCCTTTACACATAAATATAGAATTCATTGTTTGAAAAGGTTTTTCTTGAGAGACAGGTACCTTTTTATAGGAATATTCACCTAGGAATCGCGTGCTGGGCAAAAATAGAAATATTTCAAATTGTTCATCCTCGATTGGCCGAGTGGTCGCAAGTGCGACTGCCAGGCAAGGGGTCTCGGGTTCGATTCCCGGGTCGGGCAAAGTATTACTGGGTTTAAAAAAATCTCAGTAATAGCACGGAGTCTAGAATTGTGCCCGGTATATGGCAATAGGCTCACCCTCTTTTACATGGGACTTATAACAAAAATAGTGAAAAGTGGGTGTTACATTGTACAGTGGTATAATGTGCACCTCTGCCTACCCCTTCGGGGATAAAATGTTACGTTATGTTATGTTCATCCTATTGTAGTCCCATATACATATGTATGTAATTAATGTTTTTCGAACACGGGCTCTCATACTTGAGTAGCGGGCGCCAAAACCAATCAAATAGTCTACATAGGTAACTATGTTTTTTTTTATTGGCATATACTGTCATAATAAAGACACATCCTTTACAAATTAAATACTTTTTGCTTATCGGTCGGTCGAAGGTCAAGATCAAAGGCTTTTCTTTCATTATTTTATCAAAGCAATTCCTGAAAGTGTAACCGATACCAGCACCATCTATCATTGTTAGCTGAAAGTAATTAAGAAGTCGTGCCAACTTGTCAGTGTTGAAAAGTCGTTATTTTTTGAAAGTTTTATATTAGTAAGATGTCGAGAGCTGGTAACACGTGGCGGGGAAGGTTTGACTTGGAGTTCCTTCAGGTTTTATTAAAGTTATCGTTCAATTCCTTTAGTTCCGTGGTGGTTTAAGGTTAGATAAAACATTGTATTCCCATTGCACAGTGCTATAATAACTGTAATCGAATAAGGAGAATTGTTTTACCACATTTAGTTCCAAAATACTTTTTAATTTTTATTTGTTTTAATTTTAAAAACGTTGCTCTACACTAGTATTTTCGTCTGTGTCGTAGTTGCGTTTACAAACATACCCAGAACAACAATTTGTGGATCACACAAAGAGTTAATTGGCAATTGGCGACCGTCGCTGCGTCGCGGGTCGCGAAATGCTGCTCATGAATATGAGCCTCTAGCATGGCTTGAATCTAGTCGAGTTCCTCGTCAAATTATTACGTGAGTAAGCCGAAAACATAATAATTTATTTAGTATTTCTCACGAAAGTTACAATACAAATACACACAAAGAGTTGCTCCGTGCAGGAATCGAATCCGCGACACGATGCGCGGCAGCCGGTTGCCCAGACCCCGCACTAATATGTTCCATCTTTGATGAAATGTAATGCATTGTTTACTAGATACCTACCTCATTTTGAGCCAGCAAAGTCCAGGGGAAATCAGTCTTTAATAGCTGCACATAAAGTTCAAACATTTTCCTAAAACGATGTACTTGATTTTTTCCACCTTTCACTGCACAATGCTCATCTAGTACGATAAAAAATTCTGACATTTCTGTAACTTACCTTTGGCTCGTCTAATGAGGTGATTGTGTTAATGTGCGACACTGACTACACAAATATAATGAGACACTCCACTCTGAAGAAGGGAGGGGCACTCATTGTTCAGACTCAAAAATACATCATTACCTGCTATCTCTCGTTGACTTTGCAAATTACCATTGGACTTCAAGGAAAAAAATAATATACCTTAAAAATGTAATTTTTTTTTAATTTTGTGGGCCAACATTTGGCCATATCTCGCCTGGTGGTAAGCGATGATGCGGTCTACGATGGAGCACGTCATCCCATAAGCAACCTATTCACTCGGGCCTTGAAGACACCCTTCAGGAAACACAGACTCTGGCAAACAATTCCACTCCTTAGCATTACGCATAAGGAAGCTTGATGCGAAGTGCTTCGTGCGTGTGGGTGGGAATTGTGGCAGATATTAAAAAATTGTCGAAGATTTTCTTAAAACTGATGTTAGCTGTGTTATTCAAGCTGCCCGTCCCGATATTGCTCGAGTAAATTATACCATATGTTATTGTAATATGAAAAAAACCCATGTTAATGAAAAGACGGCCAAAAAATGTTGATGAAGCGAAAGAGGTATGTGAGAATCGTAGCAATTGGCGTTCGATAGTCTCTGCCTACCCCCATGTAAGACAGGCATCTGGTTATGTACGTGTATTCCACCACTAACTCTGAGACACCCCAAACACCAGTCGCCCATATTTACCCTCCGTCTGCTAGAGTTTATGTATAGATAGCTATTTTTAGTCCGTCTGTAGCCCTTGAGGTCGATGAAGGTCAGGGAAATAATGACAAGGCTTGGTTGACAGGAACACTGTAATTTGGATAGATGGAACTTCGGCGAGCAAAATATTTTTTGTTTGTGACATTTTCTGGCAAATGAATAGTAAGAGATATGGAGTCTTTTGTAGTCTTCATGATGAGTTCATTCAACTGCTATTAGGAAGGATGTATGTACTGTTTGTTGACTTTGGTTTTATATGGAACTAGCTTTTACCTGCGGCTTCGCTCGCGTCACAAAAGGATAAAAAGTAGCCTATGTGACATATAATAATACACACAGCGCCATCTATACCAATACTTTTGTTTTTCCTCGGGAATATCAAATTTTTCCGGGTTAAAAAGTACCCTATTATTTAATCCAGACTTCTAACTTTACGTCTACAAAAATTCAAAGCAATCGGTTGAGTAGTTACGGCGTGATAGCGGAACAAACAAACAAATTCACTTTCCGATTTATAATATTAGTAAGGATAAGGTTAAATGTCATAACATCACGCCTTTTATCCCCGAAGGGGTAGGCAGAGGTGCACATTATGCCACTATAAAATGTAACACCTACTTTTCACTATTAATATTTCGAGTCCCATGTAATATTCCACAATTCCAGACTCCGTGCTACTACTGAGAATTTTTTTAAAACCCAGTAATACTTTGCCAGTAGTACTTTGCTTTGTTCAAATTTGTCCTTATTACTGGACAATGTGAACACGCATAACCTGACAGCAAGCGATTAAGACCGTCCATGGATACCAACAACACCAGAGGTACCTTAATATTGAGAGTCTGTGCTATGGTTCTACAATGAGATTTACATCGTGGTAAACGTGCATAGATAGATGGCGTAGTGAAACCGCTTGGCGGTAAAATAGGCGTTGTTTATAAAATAACAGTAGGCATGTTACTATATAGTTTATTTTACTAAAAATCTGTCTGGACATTTTGGATACCTAAAAATTTCTTGTTTGAAGTACATACATAACATAATATATAGAATTAACTAAAAATCGCGGGTTACTCACGTGAATATACTGAGAAAAGCTCTACTAGTTTCGAACCACAGAGGGGTTCTTTCTCATGAGCAGCGTGCGCGGTCGCGGCGATAGTAGGCTGCGCGATATTCGCGATTTTTTGTTAATTTAGTATGTCTCACGATAGTTATTACAAAAAAATATATAGAATTGTTCCCAGTGGTAAGCTTCTACCTCACCTAATAGTAGCCGATGATGCGGCCAATATTAAATCTGCTTATTCCTTTGTGAACAGTTACAAAATTAAATAGAAATCAAATTTAACTTTTTTAATCTTCACCATTCTCTTATTGTTCGTGTTCGTTTGGTTCAGAGACTCTGATCTGGAAAATTGATTTAATTTCAATGAGATTTCTCTACCGACTCCCTTCAGGTAAAGGTCAGCTGGATTCAACTCACCAATCCGAGACCTTATTGAATGAGTTTGATCCAATACCTATCGTCTCAAAATCAATGAGTTTTAAAATTCGGTGACATTTCTGTTGTTAATCGGATCCGATTCCAATTTTGAATACAAATGAATAACAAATGAAATGTTAGTGACGTCATACCCTAAATGACAAGGACAGAAATATCATTTGTTCCTTTTCTAAAATACTAATAACAAACGACTTGATTAGGGATGTTAGGAAGTGATTATTAATTAATGGAAATAAAACTCAACATACTCTCATGGTGGCGAACAGTGAACTGAACCTTTATTTCTTCCGGAATCAATCAATCATACAGAGGGAATGAAGTCAATAAATCAATAGAGTGAAATTAGCAAACGGAAATACAATCTGTCGTTCCTTATACTTAAATTATCTACTAGTGCCAATAGATGGCGTTAGTTGTTACATTTGATGCACAAATTCTAACATTAATTCTTCTTTATTGCTTAATATAATTATGTCCGTATGTATGAAGTAATATTCACTGAACTAAACCAAAATAGCACTTCACCTAATTCATAGTTTTGATCGATGGTTGAACCCTCATTAGTCACACAGCCCTTAGAGCCCACTATGACCAAACCACTTCAATCCAAAACACAAACAGTACAATGAAAAGCCCACAAGAAAGCAATAACAGTACTTGTACTACCGGGTGTACACAAGTGGTAATAAACAGTAAGAAGTCGAGTACACCCCCGAGAACAAGTCACGTGTCACCGAACTTTTCTAATATGGGAGCGGCTGGGGGAAATTAACCCTTATCGCCTTGATATATTGAAGGGGGTCGAGATAAGATGAGGGTAGTTGAAGGGTTATACGAAAAACAATGTACCCTCAAAATGTGCGGTGTTGTTCACCGCAAGTTTTGATTGGCTCACCGAGTTGGTGTTGCCAGAATATGAATATATTTTGGTGTTGCCAGTTACAATATTGTGGGTGTAGGAGAATTGTGGGAGGATTATGTTGAGAGGGTTATATGAGATTGAAGGTGGCATGATTAAATAGTGACGGATTTAAGTTGCAGTAGAGACTTCTACGTTTAATCAGGGTGGCGCTTGACCTGAGACTTAAGTTAATATGTATGATGCGTATCCTTACGTATCTACATTACTCTAAATTAATAAAATTACAGATCTATGTTGCTCAAAATATATTATTTTGATTTAATGCTACCAGCGGTTAAAGATCCAGCCCGGAGCTTAAGACGCCCGCATTTTTTTTTATATTTGATGGGCCGACGTTTGACCACTATCTCGCCTGGTGGTGAGCGATGATGCGGATGATGTGCGGATGATGATGCGGATGTAAGCGATGATGCCCTCATGCTTCTCATACATGAGGGCGCGGATTCTAAACCTACAAACAGCAAATACCTATGTGACTTTTTCCGAGTTACATGTACTTTCTAAGATTATTTAGACACCACAGTGAAGGAAAACATCGTGAAGAAACCTGGGCTTATAATTTCTAATTGTAAATTTGTAATTGCCAACCCGCATTGAACAAGAGGTTTATGCCTAAACCGTGTGAGAAGAGGCCTTTGGTCAACAGTGGCCGCTTATAGGCTTTTGACGTTCTTGATGATTTCGGGATATGTAGAAAAAAGCACAAAACTATGTATTAAAGTACACACAACATACACGGTTTCTAAAGGTCATTTAAAACTCATTTCAATTTACATAATGCTAAAATATATTATTGTTTGTTGACAGAGGAACTGAGCGGTATCTTCGTAAAGAGTATCAGTGAGGGCAGCTCAGCAGATCTTTGCGGGAAGATACAGGTCAACGACAGGATTGTAGAGGTGAGTGTTAGAATTACCTAATTGATGACGATAATACCCGTCGTGTGCCTAAACGTTGATCCATGAGATACACAATTATGACTCACATACCGGCATTCAAGTGATCAAAACATTAGTTTTAAACACATTTCTAGTCATCATAACTCTATGTGATAAGTGAATATGACCAACCAATTAATTTGGCGCCCAACGTGGGACACGTCATGTACACAGTAATGCCCTTTATGGTGTCCACATTAAACAAATATACAGTTTGTGAGCAGATTTGACCGATTACATAATTACAGGTTTTTAGATAAGTTAAAAATAACGTATTTTACCACCTTACAACTTGGACATTATATTAACCTTGACTACAAAATCAACAAAAAAGGAGAATACAAAAGCATAAACAAAACATGATGACATTCACACTACTCTCTTAATTGGCAAACATAGTGTAACACAAATCTGACAGTTCCCGGAATTTCGCTACAAACCACAAGTTTGTATAGCGTGTCAATCATAGTAGAGGAGCCTGTGGCAGACTGAGTTCTTCTATCTAAATAAGATTACCTTTTTTTATTGTTGCTTCAAAAACTAATCGCTAAATTGCGTTGACTGCCTCATTGGTCGAGTGTCGCAAGTTCGACCGCCGGGCACTGGAGAAGGAGTCTTCAGTTCGAATCCCAGTACAGGCAAAGTACTGCTTGGTTTTTAAAAAACAAATTCTCAGTAGTAGCACGGAGTCTGGAAATGTGCCCGGTATATGGCAATAGTCTCACCCACTATTACATGGGACTTATAAATAACATAAATAGTGAAAAGTGGGTGTTACATTGTACAGTGGCATTAAATGTCGTAATGTACACCTCTGCCTACCCCTTCGGGGATAAAAGGTGTGATGTGTAAAAGGTATGTAGTCGTTTAATTGATGTAAATGAAATCATATAGCAAATACGGGTTAAGAGCAGATAGGTCAAAATTGCTAGATCCAATAAAAAGTAATATATTAATGAGATTAAAACAATATTGTTTTTTTTAAGTTGGCTAATTTTTTACTTATTCAAACGTGTATCATCGTATATTAAATAGATATATGATATAGAGTTTTAAAAAAAACTTCGATATTCAGGGCAAATAATGGTAATTTTACTCAGAAGTTGCCATTATCACCTTTTAACCGGCGCGGGAATCGAACCTGCGACACATTGCACAGCAGCTAGTCAACCAACCACCAACCATGCAGTCAGTCATCTACATAGATACCTATAAACAATCTTCCACTGGCAAGTTATCCATTATCAAACACAATTATCCGTTTATTTGCTAAAACTTGGCAACTTGACTGCCTCGTTGGCCGAGTGGTCGTAAGTGCGACTGAAAGGGTTCTCGGGTTCGATTCCCGGGTCAGGCAAAGTATTACTGGGTTTTTAAATATTCTCAGTAGTAGCACGGAGTCTGGAATTGTGCCCGGTATATGGCAATAGGCTCACCCCCTATTACATGGCACTCATGACATAAATAGTGAAAAGTGGGTGTTACATTGTACAGTGGTATAATGTGCACCTCTGCCTACCCCTTCGGGGATAAAAGGCGTGACGTTATGTTATGTTATGTGTTACTAAAACTTAAAAAATAGCATAATTATTAGATGTCTAAAGACCAGTCTCCCACGTCTCTTAGACTGTTCTCTCTATTAGCACGTCTAATTTGTCACGCTGCGCGGCACTCTATTGATGTTTCCATTCCATTTGCCGTGACGTTGTGGAACTGTACTTTTCACTTTGTATTGGTGCCTGCTAGTGACTGCCTGTGACAGTTTTACGATCCGTCTGTACATTTATGGAGTTGAGTTAATTAGATTGAGTATGTTTGATGTGAACTCTGCACGGTTGACGCGGTGGCTGGGCAACTAGCTGCCGCATAACGTGTCGCGAGTTCGATTCCCGCATGGAATAATTCTTTGTGTGATCCACAGATTGTTTTTCCGGGTCTGGGTGTCATGTGTATGTGAACTTGTAAATTTGTAAACGCATCCACGACACAGGAGAAAATCCTAGTGTGGGGCAACGTTTTTTAAAAAAGAAAAGAAAAGGAAAAGAAAGAACTAAGTATTCGCTAGAATACGGTATTTGACAACTAAGTAGTCAATTTCAATACTTTTTTCAAACTGCCAAAAATGAAATTTTTCTATGAATTTTGTACGAGATTGTGTATTGTGACGTCACATTTTTTTAGTGTCGCACAGCATACCTATTTCTTAAAAAAATGCTGAAAAAATACTAAAATTAATGAAACTGTGATTATTTTTTTTTTAATATTTTATTGTATTGAACAGTCGAAATAATTTATTTTTGATTAAGGAAAGAACTCAATTATGGTTAGAATTATGTTCATACTTCCATTAGAATGGATACATTTTGCACTACAAAACAGTCTGTTGATGATAATGATGATGTTTTTTTTATGGCATAAACCAGTAAACGAGCAGACGGATCACCCGATGGTAAGCAATCGGCGTCGCCCATGGACACCTGGAACATCAGAGGCGTTACAAGTGCGTTACCGGCCTTTTGGGGATTAGGAGTTTGAGAATCGTTGGGGATTCAGGGATTGGGGAGATTGGGGAAGGGGAGGGTAATTGGGCCTCCGGTAACCCAATTGAGTTTTCGGAGTTTTGTAAACATGCGATATCGACTATGATCGAAAAAACAAATAACTAAAATTTTCCTTTATACAAAGATCGAATCTAACATAACATAACATCACGCCTTTTTATCTCTGATTCTAATTAACTTAATACCACTGTACAATGTAACACCCATTTTTCACTATTTATGTTATGAGTCCCATGTAATAGGGGGTAAGCCTATTGCCATATACCGGACACATTTCCAGACTCCGTGCTACTACTGAGATTTAAAAAAAACCCAGTAATACTTTGCCCGACCCGGTAATCGAACCCGAGACCCCTTGCCCAGCAGTCGCACTTGCGACCACTCGGACAACGAGGTAGTCGAGGCAGACATTTTTTTTTTTTTTTAAGGGGGGAAAATCATCGAATGACTGCTCCCACCTGGGTGAGGCGGAAGGGAGTGTCAGACTCTTACTGACTAAAAACCACCCCGTTCCTTCTCCTGCACGTCGAGCCGGAGCCCCGGTTACGCGCCGTACGCTCAGGTCTGTTTCTGGTCGGACGGAGAGCCACCCATGCTCGCCGTCCGCAGGCCCGCGCTTACGGTGGCCGGAGATCGTCCAGCGATCCCCGACGCCCGGTGAGTCCTTCGCGATGGCTGGGTTGCGAGGAGGCAGCGCTTCGCTGCCTCACGCGTGCCGCCTCCTCCTTAGCTAGCATGACTGCTTCGCAAAAGGAGGAGACGGCATCCCAGTCCCCCTCGCTCCGCATCATGGCCTGCACTAGGCCCGGACGCGAGAGGTCGCCATCGCCGATCACTTCCCTGAGGGCACGGCGGTGCTCAGCCCACGCAGGGCATTCCGCTACGGTGTGTTCCACCGTGTCCTCAGGGCGGTCCTCGCAGTGATGACACCCGGGCGTTTCCTCCCGCCCCATCAGACACAGGTACCTCCCGAAACTTCCGTGTCCGGTGAGGACCTGCGTCAGGCGGTAGGTGAGGACGCCGTAGCGTCTCTCAAGCCACTCCTCAAAGAGGGGTCTTACCGCTGCAATGGCAGCGAGCCCAAGTCGAGGCAGACATAGATCGAATCTGTAACGCAATAATCAGCCCTCAAGTCTATAAAACGTCCTTCAAAATGACATTCACATCCGGGGTAACAATAGATATAAGAACTCAATCGAGTTATCATTTTGGTCACAACAATGGCAAATCGATGTGATCATCATCATCGTTGTATCGAGAAAAGACCTCCATTACCAAAGATAGGGTTGCTCCTAACTCCAAACTCTACACAAACGGCTACATAATAAACTATACAAATCCAATTTATCATGATCTCGCTTTATATGTTCTTTTCGTACAATCGAAGGTCAGTTTATACTGGTTATACACATCGAGCTATGCATCCAGTTTACTATGGTCCGGCTTTGTATGATTTTTCTGTACATTCAACGGCCAGCTTATACTGGGTATGCATAGCTTTGTACCATTTTCACCAACCCTCCGTTGCAAGCGGCCGGTCGGGTAGGCCATTAGTCCAACTAATTTGTCACGCGGCGTGACACGAACGGCTGTAGTTTCACATCGATACACTTGATACACGAGCACACCGTGGCATGTTGTACCATGTATTAGTGAAACGCTTTTGTACATCGCCGTATGAGGGTTGATTGATAGGGCTGGTTTATTATGATAGACGGGTTTTTCGTGTATTCGTTTTTAGATGTTTATATTTCTTTTTATTTGTTTTATTACTGTCTCGCGCCTCGTTTGGTTCGCCTCGCCAAGAGTGGTTGTCTAGCAGAAGGTCTTGAATTCGATTCCCGAATTGGGCAAAGTACTATATTTTTTGGATTACTTAAATTTATAAACGTAAGTACCTACGTAAGTAACTAACCGCGGTTTCGCCCGTGTTCCTGTGGGATAAAAAGTAGTCTATGTGTTTTTCCAGATCATAATCTATCCTTATTCCAAATTTCATCCCGATCCCTTCAGCCGTTTAGACGTGATTGAGCAACAAACACTCAAACACACAAACACACAAACTTTCGTATTTATACATATTACTAACTTTTACCCGCGGCTTCGTTCGCGTCACACAAGGAAATAAAGTAGCCTGTGACATAATAATATACCAAGACACAGCGCCATCTATACCAATACTTTTATTTTCCCTCGGGAATATCAAATTTTTTCCGGGATAAAAAGTACCCTATTATTTAATCCGGGCTTCTAACTTTACGTCTGCCAAAATTCAAAGCAATCGATTTAGTAGTTACGGCGTGAAAGCGGAACAAACAAACAAACAAACAACTTTCCGATTTATAATATTAGTAAGGATTAAGATTAATTTATAATCTTACTCAACCCACGACTTAGTTC